TATATACATATACATATATATATTTATATATATTTATATATGTATAAATATATATATATATACATATATTTATATAATCGTATGGTGGGACAGAGGGTGACAGCTATGTACAGTACATACTTGCCTTAGTTGTACCATCGTTACGTCTCTATGTACCTACACTCCTTAATAATCATAATATGATGATGACAATAATCAGAATCATAATCATATATAACTAATCTGCAATGATCGTAATAATATTATTATCGTTTAATCATAAAATACTCTATCGTCGCGTGTACTCGTAATAATAACTATATAGGTATGCAGTATGTACGTAAAGAGGATGTGTTCAACCAGGATATGTCGGTGAAAACTATGGTGTATCAAGCGTCAACTTCTTTTTTTTAATATACATATATACATATATTATATATTATTATTATTATATGTATATATAATAATATATGTATACACATATAAATTATTCACTATTGTATATATCGCTTTCTTCTTTTTCCTTCAAGAACTACTATTACAAAAGTGCGTACTCTCGTCTTACGTTTATAGGTACATACATGTATCGGCGTGACCTACCTACTTGTTCATTGTCGTTTACATTAAATCTATAGCTTTATTTATTCATCTCGATTGTACCGGGTGCAGCGAAAATAACGGCGCTACTGGGAATACTCCGAATGATTACTCGTGGAAAAGAAACAGCTAAGACGAAGCCCCTTTTTACCCCTCTTTCCCTCTATATTTATGTATATCAAAATCCATCGAGAGTCGGGTACACTCTATTACTCGTGTTACACACGGTTTAGATTTTCACCGTGTTCGTGAACGACGCACGCAAGGTTACCAGTGCAGTTCGAGGAAATATACGACCCACGATATTTCTCTGCGAATAAATCAAACTACGCTACTTTTCATGTTCCTCGCAAAAGAATCAACGTCTAACGATTACTTTCCGCGGTGCATTACAATTTACGAATTTTGCGTGTATTGCAGGAATCGGTCTGCATCAAGGCGTATTCGCTCGCTGGTTATCGTTCAGCGCACTTGGTCGTTCCTTTCGTACATCATCCCTTATCAACGCGTCGACCAACAACAGAATACTCAGAATTTTCCTCGATCGTTCTCCTTCATTTTTAAAACAAATTCCAACACTCGAGTCGGAAACAAATCATAGGCCATGCAGTTGGTCCCAACTGCAGGATACTCCAGCGTCCGACGCCTCGTTCGAAAATAGGCGATAACAGGACACGCGCGACGTGATTTCACAGTGTCACCCGTGTTACGACACGCGAGGCCCGACCCAGCTCGCGTCCGCTGGGTGAAATATAATACACTCAGCGATGGTCAACGCGTCGATCGCGAAAAGTCTTCGGATAGTTTTCTAGCCAATAAATAATATTCCCCGACGTAGATTATTTTTACACCGCCGCCGAACGCGGCGCGAATCCGTTCCTCTTTCTAGCGAACTCGTCCTACAGCCTCGATGATACCTTTGTTTTTCCATTTTCCCTTTTCCTTTTTCTTAGAAAACGTTATCCCGCGGTCAGTCGTGACGCAATTTTCCCCGCGCCCAGTACGCTGTCCTTAAACGGAGCACTACGATAATCCTCTTGTTTAATGTTTGCACCCATACACACAAATGCGCGAGCATCCTCACCCACGTTCACGCCCTCACGCAAACGGAACGTTCGTACACGCATACATACACACGCGCGTCTGATTTTTCCTCCCGCGTATATTTAACACTAGAACTACCGTACCAGTCGGAATGACTGGTTTCGATTTTTCTCGCAGTTATTGAAGCATTGAATATTTCAAATGATTTTGAAAATGAATAGTTTCACTTGAACGCTAATGAATGTCCGAAGAAACTGAAAATAATCTATTGTTACAATTTTTATAGGGATTACGCACGAATCGTATTAAATACTCGGTAGTTCTAGTGTTAATTACTATATATATATGTATATCTATAGGTGACACAGTACTTTCTACGCGTCCGACGGTATGTATATAGGTATATCTTATCATTATCGTCGTATCGTATCAGAATCGTCATTTTGTTCCTACGGATGATCATCGGGACCAATTCCCATCCGTAATTGTCTCGCGTTCCCCTCCTGAATGTTACCTGAAATATTCGATCCGCGGCATCGCGATCATCGGCCATGCCTCTCCGCGGGCCACGCGATGGCCCGACCAAGCGAATCTTCCGCTTTAAGCCGAGTACACACTAGGGCGCAGCGACTCGAGGTCGCCGAATGTCACATAACTCGATCGCAGACGAGAATGGTTATGTAACGAGAATTAAAAGCAACGCGAATTTTCGATGCGCGTCGAACCTAAATTAGCGCGGTCGCCGTTATGAGAATCGAGCTTTAACGCGTTGAATGCCGTGACCCCCAACCAAATTCAATTACTGCGGTTCACTCGATGAAACGATTATTTGGAAACATTTCCGTATTATAAATAATGTTACCTACTCTCGTGGCATTCAGTTAGGAGACTGTGCAATAATAATAATGCAACTCAATCAAATGATTTAATATATCTATCTATTTTGTGTATTTTACTTTATAAAATCGTGCGGCATTCAACGTGTTAACGGATGATATTTATCCGAGGACAAACATTATCATTTACCCGACTAAATTCGATCAGGATATTCTTAGTATTTATATCTCGATGGGTTCATTTCATTTCACTGCAATTACGACCAAGTATAACGAAACGTTTACTCGAACGATCGTTCGACAGGGTGTACAAGATAAGAGCACTACATTGGAAGGTTCGCGTGGTATTTACAAAAAATATCGGTTCAAAAAATAAAGTTCGAGTCACATTTGATTCGGGGAATAAATATGTAATAATAGATCTGCGAGCGTAAAACTGTTGCAAATAAAAGTAGCGCGGATGTCCTAGTGTACACGCAGCCTTCAGGAAAGATCTCGTCGACGCGCAATTCGGAGCTCGACTTTTCCCGCGGTTCGCACACCTTGACGAAAGCTTCTTAGGCACCGTTCGAGACTCGATCCGAGGACATATTATTAAGCGATAAAAAAGGACCCTTACGTGTCTACGTTTCACGGGTTAACGAGCCGGTCGATCGTTTCCCCCAAATTATACCGGGTCGCCCGTTCCCGAGCGTGTACTCCCTTCCGAACGGACGAAAATCGCGTGTACGCCTCGCCTGTGTGTAAATACGTGTGTACGTGTACGCGTGCACGTGCATGTAGGAAGATAAATCGAACGGTAACCGGTATCAACA